CAAAACTTGCACGAGTATTAACTAGTATGTTGATTTTGATATATTGAGTTATATGTTGTATTATCAGTGCCTTGGATCAAGGAGTTTTACAATGAAGATACAATAATGGATGGGGAAGAAAGCTTCGTGTCACACAAGGTTTTGCAAGAGATAACAAAGGGGTCCCTTGTGAGCGATAAAGTGATTTTCTGTGCCGAGATCACCAATGTCAAACCAAATTTCAATGTTAAGGTTCCCCGTCAAACAATGACGACCGCTGAAACACCTTAAACTGATCGATGTGCCTCAGAACAAATCTAGAGTCACCTGGAAGATCACGCAGTTTTCCTCCTTTGATGGTGACCATCATTCGTCGCATGAGTTCACGGTTGGACCACGAAAATGGTATGCAAAAATCATAGACGTACTCTCTCTCCCTTTCGATTAATAATATGTTTTGGTTGAATATGCCCACGAATTAATATTTCACGCAAAATAACTCAATGATCCATATTTTCTAAGAAATATTACAAATAACAATACGATATGAATTAACGTTTTGCATTGTTTTGTAACAAAACAATGCAAACATATCTCATAAGCTGAAACAGAGATTATATATCACTAAACTTATCTTATACATATGTGCTCCGATTCAACCAGGAAATTAATGATGTACCCTAAAGGAGTCTTCCAGGAGGAAGGAGAGTTGACTTTGTACATGAATGCGTCTCATCACGTAACCAGTGGTCCAAAGGAGAAAACATTGGCCGTCTATAAACTGCGAGTGTTAGACCAACTCCATCGCAACCACTATGAACAAAGTATATACCTAAATGATCTCCTCTATTCTTTGTTTATATATTTGTTGTTTATTTTATGTATGCATATATAAGCCGTTTGCTGATTTTATTCTATACATGTTGGATAAAGAGTACACTAGATGGTTTCGCTATGATCCGGACCGTCTAGATCACATTTGGTTGACGGATTACCTTGATGTGCCAATGAACAAACTCAAGGAACCTTCGTGGGGATTTCTGGCGAACGATCAGATATATGTCGGTGTTGAGTTCTTACTTTTGTCCACTACCGAGGATCTCTGATGCACATTAATGGATTCAATCAAGTCCACAAGAATAAATGCCTCCTAAATAACTAGATTATCTATTATTCTATATTTGCGTATCGTGATGTGTGTTTAAATATCATGCAAGATTATACAAAAAAATAAAACAAACACGTGACGGATCATTCGAATGATTGTATATTGTCTGTCACGATAAAATTCAACTGAATCCGTTGCTATGTATTCTCTTATGGAGAAAATCTCTTTATATACGTGTACCTTTACTGTTTATAATAACTACGATATATATGTGCATGTACATACATACCATTTAAAAGTTAAAAGTCCAACTTTGTTCCGTTATAAAAAAAAACTTCCCAACGGCGTAAAATCGATTTCAAAAATAAAATTTAGTTCATATATATGATCTTACGTAAGATTTGTGGAGAGAGAGCCAAATAATGAGTTGGATTTCAGTGCTTAATCTCCAGAAAATATCAGACAAACAAATAGTAAAAAAATTTAAAATTGAATCGATCATTCAACATCATGTACATAAAATGATGATTTGTTAATGAATACTCAAATTCAATAGTTCAACTCCATCCATTTGAGAAGAAACGCAATATGCTGGCCCAGACACCGAAAGAAAAGGAACAAAACTTCAAGGTTTAATGTTATAATCTCTCCAATTCTTAAAAAATGTCATTTTTGAATTATTGTTTTCTTTCAAAAAGAAAGAATGTCATCATTCTACATTTTCAAGATGACTTTCCAAGCTCAACTCTTATTTCATACCTTATTAAAAGCTAGTAATAAACTTTGAATTTGAATCATTAATATTGAATTAGTGGTATATTAAATAGAGGAATATATATATAATCACACATTAACCCATGTGAAATGTGTCAAAGTTACACTCTTTATGAAGAGAGGGAGTAGAAAGCATATATGTATATCATTCCAATGTAAATCGGCGTTAAAAAATATTTTGTTTCAATGTTCTCTTAGGTATAATTATAAATTAGAAACGAGATTAAATTTTATTTTATATTTGCTTAAAAGTTAATGACATATAAAAATATGATTGTCTCTTTTCAACATTCTTTTTTAAAAGTTTAAATTCGAATGTGTATATTGATATACTTTTGTAATTAAAAATATGATTATGTAAATAATCTATACTTTTCTTCGAAAATTAAATATAGTCTATGTTTCTAAGAATATAGCTTTCATTATTAGAAAATTATCTAAACAAGAAAAACTAAAACTAGTTCGTTCTGTGACAGACTAAACCGAATGTGTTAACATGTCTTAACAGTTAACACTCCTAAATCTAGATCTACATAAACCCATTTCTCCTCATTATTCGAAGACAAGATCTAAGATCAAGAAATTAGAAGTCGTAACGTGCTGTATTTAAAACGGGCCATCTCGCAAGCATTGGATGCTATAATAAGGTTTGTTAATTAATTTATATGCATAAAGAGAAGAACAACAAACATAAGAGAGTGTGTGTGAGGTTTCCGTAGTTTAAGAAGAAAACATTCGGTCGTAGTTTTATTCATTATTAAGAGATGTG